TGGGCTAGGGGGCTTGCTCCCAGCTGCAGTGTAGACATACACTTAGGCTTGGTCTACACCTGAAAACTTGATTGACCTAGATACATAACTTGGTGCTGTGAAAAATTTCACTCCCTGTGTGACAGAGTTAGGTCAACTTAATCCCCACTTGCATGGTGACAGGTTTCAGAGTGTTCGCCGTGTTAGTCTGTATCAGCAAAAACAACGAGGAGTCCTTGTGGCACCTTAGAGACTAACAAATTTATTTTTTCAGAATGTTTTGTGCAGACTTGCTACCACCCTTTGGCCTAAGGATTTTTTCAGAGATGGTGCCTTTACTTACCTCTCACCAGGCCTTGGGGACTATAATCATGCATATTTCCAGAGTTCTGACAGTCCCCATGGTAAGACCCCCATGCACCTCTGCTGGCACAAACTACAGAACTGAATGCTGAAATGAGGTATGCCTGATCTCAGAAGATAGATGTCTTCCACCTGCTAGGCTACACCTAACACAGTGAATGCAGCCGGAGTGCTAGCAGATAAATGCAGATTCAAATCTTGAGTACAGCACAAGTAATGACACCTTTATGTAGTCCTTCATGTCTGCTAATGGCACCAACTGTACTGAACCATTCCCAGTGGCTATTAGCTGCAGGGCAGAGAACTAAGGTTGCATTGCAGGCGCAGTGTGCTACTTAACTTATTTCCTGGTTTTCGGAGAATTTAATCAATCTCCAGGTTCTGGAAATGTTTGGGCAACCTTAACTCTTAGTTTTTAGACATTTAGTATCATTAAGTTGGCTACTTTGCACATATTTGTACTTCAAACAGCAATATTAAAATATGATTTAACATCTCTGAATTATCTGTCTTCCATATCTGAATAGTCAGATTTCATGTTACATTAACAAAACCTGCCATCTTAAATTAACTCTTTAAAAAATTTAGGGAAGGAAACCCCTTCACCACCACACACCAGCCAATACCATTTCAGGCTTAGCTCCCTTCCTCTTCCTCCATCACATAGACAATGTTAATCTTTACATAGCTGAACATGCAAGTATTAAATACTCATCTTGCATTGTAGCAGCATCTAGATGCCTCAATCAGAATTGTGGCCTCACTGTGCTAGGTGATGTATGAACACATTATTATGGTAAGGACTGTCTTAGGCAGTGGTTCACAACTTTTTCTGATAAGGAACCCCAGGGTCATTTCCCAACTACCTGGCAAGTGGAATCCCCCTCTTGTTTCAATACAAGAAGGGCACAGTGGTTGTGACCTGTGACACCTATGTGTGAACCCTTCTGTAGCATTGCAACACCCAGATTGAGACTCCTTGGCCTAAAAAAAAAACCTTTGCGGTGGGCTTGAAGGCTAAGTCATAGCGTGGCTACTTGAATGTGTATTAGTGGAGCGACAGCATGCTTGCTACAATTTGCAAAGCTAGAAGTAGCTGGCCTCTGGAGGAATTCCTATTCCTACCTCCTAATGTGGTATTGGAAAGGGCCCGGCAGATCTGGAGATACTATCTTAGTGAAGGAGGGGTGTAAGCTTTGCAGTGTTCTGACGTGGATGTTCTTACATGCTCTCCTCCCTAGCTGCAGTTCTTCTATTACTCTCAAGGGAATGCGTACCCTGGGAAGGACACACCATTTAAGAACAGAATCAGTTGGGCTGGAGACCTTAACAAGAAAGATGCATCTGTCAGCATAGCAAATGTGCAGTTCCGGGACAACGGCACTTACTTCTGCGATGTCAAGAACCCACCTGACATAGTTTTCATACCAATAGAAATCCGACTTAGAGTCGTGCAGAGAGGTACCTCCCCTCACTAACTCTTCCTTTCTTTAGATGCCATTCTGGGCCTGGTAGAGACTTGATTTTATCTATAGTGTCCAAAGCCCCAAAGGCCACTCGCAGGATTTGTTATCAAAGTTAATTTTTAAACTCTGAAGATACCAGTCTTAACCAGTTTTTCTTACTCCATCAACGCTGTGACGTTGCACTCTATAGGATTTTATAAAAATATGCTTATGAGTGTGAATATAATGTACCTGGAATATGCTTCATGCAAAAGGTCTCTTGTAAGGTATTATC